CCACAGCAGACAACTTTTACTCACTGAGCCACCTGACTGTCCGCAATGCCCCCTATGTTTTAATAGCATTAATAATGCCCAGAAGTTCAATGAGTTTCTTGCTCTTCTTGAAGAATTTAAACTACTAAAACATAAATAAATGAAACAAAGAGTAAAAGAGACCAAGTAGCCATCTTGGCCTGTCAGCAATCAGGCCATCATAAGCCCATTAACCAGCCCTGTCTCACAATTTCATCCTGAGTCACCAAAGATATACTGTGCCACCCACATACACAATAATAGAAATGGTAAAAAATCATAAAGTTTATCAAACACTCTTTCCCACCTTAGAAAAAAATGTATAAGGTTTATTTTTTAAGATTAATTCTTTTAAGTGTGTGTATATGCTTGTATGTGGGTACAAGGGTGGGCAGATTCCTGAAGCTGTAGTACAGCTACTGTGAGCCACCATGATACAGGCGCTGGAAACTGACCTGGAACTTCTGCAAGAGTAGTACTTACTGTTACCCCAAGAGGTTTATTTGTTAGGAAAGAAGCTTAACAGTACATTAAACAAAAACTAGGACTCTGTGTCTAATGTGATAGAGACATTAAGGTCTTAAGTCTATTCCCTTCATTCAATAGCAATTTGAGTCCTTAAGACATAAAAAGGCAAAAAACAAAACAAACAAAAAAAGAGTTAAGATAAGCTCTATATTGGATTTTCATACCCATCTCTATCCCTCTGCTACACATATACAACTCTTAAAGGTTAGAAGAGCTGGGTAGTGGTAGAGCACACCTTTAATCCCAGCATTCAGGAGGTAGAGGCAGGCAGATCTCTGAGTTCAAGGCCAGCCTGATCTAAAGTGAATTCCAGGACAGGATCCAAAGCTACACAGAGAAAACCTAAACCCTGTCTTGAAAAAACAAACCAAAAACAAAAAAAGACACTCAAATGATATAACATATTACATTAAATTTCAGTTATGAGTACCACAATTTTTCACTCATACATTTAAATATTTAGCAGTAAGACCTCCATTTTTTAGTTTTAGTTTGTTCAGTTTTGTTATCTCCCTTTGCTTTTGAGACAATATCTTGCTATGTAATCCTGTACTGCCCAGGTACTATGTAGCCCAGGCTAGCCCCATTCTCAGCAACCCTCTTGCCTCAATTTCCCAAGTACTGGGTCTATAGGAATAGCCATCATGCCTAACTTGTTTTGACTTTTAACATTTATGTGTGTACCCACATGCGCGTGCGCGCACACATGTCCCTGAGATTTTCTGTCTCCAATTCCACCTCCCTGTAGGGACAACAAGTTACAGAAGTATGTGTCACCAAGTCTGGGTCTACATGGGTTCCGGTTATTCAGACTCAGGTCCTCAAGCTTGCTGCTTTTGACAATAAAGCATCTCCCTAGCCCGCTTGGTGTTTGTTTTTTGTGTTTTGTTTGTTTGTTTTGGTGGGGGGGTTGTTTTGCTTTTGAGAGATAGACTCACTATGTTAATCCAGACTGGACTCAAAATTACTAGAAATCCAGGCTGGACTCCCTATGATAACCTTGCTTAAGTCCAAAGATCTCTTGGGTTACTGCATACCATCATAGCTGGCTATTAGTTCTTTTTTTTAAGATTTTATTTATTTCTTATGTATACAACTTTCTGCTTCCATGTATATCTGTACAACAGAAGAGGGCACCAGATCTCATAACGGATGGTTGTGAGCCACCATGTGGTTGCTGGGAATTGAACTCAGGACCTCTGGAAGAGCAGTCAGTGCTCTTAACCTCTGAGCCATCTCTCCAGCCCCTGGCTATTAGTTCTTATGAATACTTTTAGCATTTATTTATCTGTGTGAGGATGCATGCTGTGGTACATGTATGCAGGATCAGAGACCTTGTTCCAGGAATAGGTTCTGTCCTCTCACCCTGTGGGTCTTCGTAATTGAGTTCAGGTTGTCAGATTTGGCACCAACTGTCTTTACCCTCTGAGCCATCTTGCCAAACTTGGCTATCAATTTTAAGGTATTAAGAGCAAATCACTAATAAATATTTTGTAAGCTGTTTTATTCTCTTCTAAAAAATTTTAATTAAAAATTAATTTTTCTTAATACTTACCTAAACTTGTAGGCTTGATGAGAACATCAAGGACGTCATAAAAGGGCAGGTTTTTTAATTGCACATCAGGATGGACAGGAGGAATGGGAGGAGATGGCTGCTGCATCTCAAATGTGGGCTTACTGTCCTGAAGCAGCACAGAACCAACAGGAGATGATGGTGAATGAGGTGTAATTGAAGAAGAAGGCAACGAGTGGATTCCAGCCACAGCCAAGTCAGGTTCTACTGGTGAAGAACTACCATCCAAACTGAAAACCGATGATTTAATTGTGGATAAATCAGAAAGTCCTTCAAGTGTCCGTGGGTATCGGCGTCGATATAATTCTCGAATTTTAATCTGAACCGCAGGGCTGCAGCCACTCTTCAATAAATGCAACGCCCTCATCAGGAGGTCATGCTTACGACCACTTTTATTCCGTCCAGCAAAGCCTAGTAACACTTGTAATTCAGAAACCCTAAAACTAGAAACCATATTCTAAAAGGGGAAAGAAAAAAAGAACAAATCATCATCAAGCATATATAAAAATTACTACCTAAATTATAGTATAAAGTCATATTTTTTCCTGATATTAATCAATATTTACATATACCATACCACCTGGAACATTAGTATTCAAAAAGCTATCTTCTCTTGAAACATCCATTTGAGTTATGTTGTTAAATCAGATTTTGCTTTCCTCTTCATTTTGAAAACCCAGTCTTGGTTCATATTAACCACCTAATTGTCAGATTATGCTCTAATATAAATCGCTATTTGCTTCTTCATTATGAGCTCTTTACCCAATGAATATGTTCTTTTTCAAAACTAAGACCTCCTAATATAAAGCTCAACATTGTGATGATAACAGAATATAAGCAGGAAGAAACAGGAAATCGCTCTCGTATGCTGAAACGCTAAGGAGGTAAAGTATGGCGGTGGCTGGTTCCTTCTTCTCTTTGATCTGTCTGCATTTTCCTGTATTTCTGACTCTGGGTTTCTATTAGACTGATTAAGAACTCCACTTACACAGTATTTGTTACAAAATTGTCACTAATTAAACAAACAAGTTGATTTTTTATGCCACATGTTTAACTTCTAGCACTGCTTAGCAGAATTACAAAATCCAGTTGTAACTGGTATCCAAAGCCAATGTATTTTTAACCCATACTCAAACATTAAGGAACAGACAAAAATAAAATTTTTTTGTTTTGTTTTGTTTTTCTAGACAGGGTTTCTCTGTGTAGCTTTGGAGCCTATCCTGGCACTCGCTCTGGAGACCAGGCTGGCCTCGAATTCACAGAGATCCACCTGCCTCTGCCTCCAGAGTGCTGGGATTAAAGGCGTGTGCCACCAACTTTTGCCCAGCTAAAAAAATTTTTTTTTTTTTAAAAGATACTTTAAAACATTAAGACTAAGCCGGGCTGATGACACACACCTTTAATCCCAGCGCTTGGGAGGCAGAAGCAGCAAGTGCATCTTGCAAAAGAAAAAAAAAAAAAAAAAGAGGTTTCCACCAACCACAGGGCAGCTCACAACCACCTGTAACTCCAGTGTCAGGGAACCTGACACCCTCTTCTGGCCTCCACATGCACTGCATACACATGGTACATAAACATACATTCATACAAAGCACTCCTACACATAAAGTAGAAATAAACCCTTAGCTGGGCGAGTGCCAGGATAGGCTCCAAAGCTACACAGAGAAACCCTGTCTCGAAAAGCCAAAAAATAAAAAATAAAAATAAACCCTTAAAAAAATACTAGATTTCAAAATCGATAGAGCAACCCACAGCTCTAGACATCTAAATGTTTATCTAGAATTACAAAAATAGTTCAAGAAACAAATAGTATCAAAATCAACCCAAAAAGGAGAAATAAAGGATAAAGGAAAAAAATTAACTAGAAAACAAAATGAAGTCAACTCCCCCCACCCAAAAAAAAGTAAACAAATGCACAGGACTATGAATTTAAAAAAAAAAAGGGGGGGGGAGGGGTCAGGAGTAGTGGCACATGCCTTTAAATCTCAGCACTCCAGATGCTAAGGCTGGAGGATCTCTATGAGGTCAAGGCTAGCCTGGTCTACTTAGCTATTTCTAGGAATATCAATGAATACATAGAGACCCTATCTCAAAAAAAAATTAATAATAACAATAAAAGAAACTGGACATGGTGGGTCATACCTGCTATCCCTGTGATCTAGAAACTGAGGCAGGAGGAGGGCAAATTTGAGAGCACTGTGGGCTATGAAAGCTGCTCTTCCTTGAAGAAGAAAAAAAGTACATGCAACAAGTTCCAAGTCAACAGTGTGAGCTTCAGAGTAAGTCCCTTGTGTGTACATGTACATACACAGCACAGAGGCAAGCTAGGGGTAGGGAGCAATTGCTCACATGTATGCACTCTGATGGAAAACCTAAATTATGTCACCTGAATCAGGAACAAGTAGTAATATTGTTTACCACCTCCATTTAAAGACACTACACAGACCAAGCAGTTTAGTGAGCAAACCTGCCCAACCTCCAAGGAAAAGAAGGAATCCTATTTCCTGGACCGTGAAGAGAATGTGAAGTTAAGCACATTTTAGCACACAGAGTAATCACCTCGTTCTTACTGGGGAATTAACGTATATCAGAGACTCTATATAAAAAAATAAAATAAGCATGCACTCAGGAGGCAGAGACAAGCGGAGTTCGAGGCCAGCCTGGTCTCCAGAGCGAGTGCCAGGATAGGCTCCAAAGCTACACAGAGAAGCCCTGTTTCTGGGGAAAAAAAAAAAAAAAAAAAAGAAAGAAAGAAAGAAAAAAAGAAAAAAATTGAAAAAATGCTGAACTATGTAAAGTATTGATACTCAAAACTACGAGCAAGTGGGAGTTAAGTGTGACACAACTTTTTCTGTCTTGAAATTCCTGCAAAGACAATGGTGTAAGGGTCTAAGAGACCCAGTGGAAATCCTGTGACCTGAAATCTATATACCGGTGTCGGTGTCAGAGGCTAAGTCCTGTCACCAAGACACAGCACAGGTGTCTACTCACCCCAGACAGGGATCCCATGACAAAGTACAGATACCACCAAAGTCTGACTTGGTTACCTACAGAAGTATGGGTTAGGGATTGCTTCAGGAGCAGAAATGATTCAAAGACAGCTGTATCACCAAGGCCCATTCCAGCATGGGTGACAGCTCACAAAAGCAGGGAAAACTGGGCTGGAGAGATGGCTCAGAGGTTAAGAGCACCGGCTGCTCTTCCAGAGGTCCTGAATTCAATTCCCAGCATACACATGATGGCTCACAACCATCCATTATGAGATCTGGTGCCCTCTTCTGGTGTGCAGATATACATGGAAGCAAAATGTTGTATGCATAATAAATAAAATCTTAAAAAAAAAAAAAAAGAGCAGGGAAACCTATAGCATGTTGAATAGCCTACAGGCAGCTCCACACATTGGAAAGTGTCCTGTTGGTCTAAACCTCTTTCAGGCAGCTGGTCTGGTCTCAGTCTTCTTTGCAGCTCAGCTTTCTATCCTCTGAGAAGGACACTCAGCTTTTATTGTTTAGTCTGGCAGGGAGGGGCCTAATGAATCTGGTCAGTTTCAGGGGCTTCCTGAAGCTCTTTTTGAGTCGCAAATCTTTCTGCATAGCTTCCTTGCAGAATGGACTGTTTCAATCTCAGAGGAAACTGTTAGACAACAAGGGTGCAGATCATTTAGTCAAACTTTCAGGTAAAAGTCTGACGAAACATTAGATTCACATACAACTTTTGCATTTCCTAAAATGAGCCATAATAATTGTTGTTTTTTGGGGGTTTTTTTTTGTTTATTTGTTTGTTTTCTTTTGTTTTTTGAGACAGGGTTTCTCCATAGCTTTGAAGGCTGTCCTGGAACTCACTCTGTAGACCAGTCTGTCCTCAAACTCACAGAGATCTGCCTGTCTCTGTCTCCCAACTGCTGGGATTAAAGGCACATGCCATGCCCAGCCATGGTTTTAATGTCTTACAATGGCCATACACTGACAGCTTAGTCACCAGCTTACGACAATACTAAGAGATGGCAATAGAGCCTTTAGGAGGTAGAGGAATACTTAAAGGAAGAGGTCAGTAGAGTGTGCATAACCCTGAAGGGACTATTGGGATTGAGATCACTTTCCTGCCTGACAGCCATGAAGTAAGCACATTCCCTGAAGTGCTCTTCCTCACCAGAAGACTTAAGAAAGGTACCAAGGAACCATTGGCTGAAATCTCTGAAACCCCGAGCCTAAATCAATATCTGAGTTGAGTACTTACACTAGAAGTATGGCATATACATTCAAATAATTTGTACAAAGTGGAGAAATTAAAAATGTAGTCAATAATTAAACAAACTGAGTAATGAGTATAGATACTTTGCCATATTTGAAAAAGCAAGAACGTTTCCTGGATTGATTAAGCAGGTCAATATAGACATATAGAGGCTATTAATTTCCAAACTTTTATTCAAATCTAAATTGAAACAATTTTTTTTTTTTGTATTTTATGGTGGGGTAAAAAAGGTTTTAGTCAAAATACTAATTCATATAAAAGGAATCCAGGCTCTTTGAAGGAAATAGCTCACTATAGGAACTACAGGCCTTGGTTTAAAACTATACAAGATGTATTTACAATATTTTATAATATTTTATGATAACAGAAAACAAAAAAGTAACAAAACTACTGAGATCTTATTAGAAGGACACAGAAAAAAAAAAACTCTTAAGAGGTCTCAGTCAGAATGATGTAATTAGGAGAATGGGAAAAGAGTAGTTAGTTACACTGAATTTAAACACTAAATATAT